ATATATATATATATATATATATATATATATAAAGCACACTCTACAACCAACCACTTCAGTATCTTGCATATGCTGATGATATAGCACTACTAGGGAAAAGTATTAAAGACATCTATCAAAATCCTTTATTGAATTAGAAGACGCATCACTACAAGCAGGGCTGGACGTTAACAACCAAAAAACAAAATACATGAATATCAGCAGGAAACAGGGCATACTTCAGTAGTCCGAAAACACTTAAGAAATTAAAACATTACAAGAGAAATAAAGAAACCTATATATAAAACTGTAATCAGATCAGCTGTAACATATGCAAGTAAAACTTGGACCCTAACAAAAACGGTAGAAAATCTATTAAACACATGGGAGAGAAAATTTCTCAGAGAATGTATCGGCCAACAAAGGATGAATATGGATGGAGAATTCGAACCAACCATGAGTTATACAGTCTATATCAGGATCCCACGATAGTGGCAGAAATAAAAAGAGGCAGGCTACGCTGGGCAGGACATCTAGAGAGAATACCAATTGACAGAGGAACGAAGAGGGTGCATCACCAATACCCCAGAGGAAAAATGCTCAAAGGCAGACCTAGGCTTATGTGGATAGATGATGTGGAAAATGATTTACAGCAGTTGAAAGTCCAAGCATGGAAAAGAAAGGCATTAGTTAGGTCTGAGTGGAAGGAAGTGGTGAGGCAGGCCAAAGCCCTACATGGGCTGTAGCGCCACAGGGATGGATGGATATATATAAAGGCACCCAGGTCCGATAGAGGCGATGCGTGTCCGGAGCCATGTTGACGAAGTTCTATTCGTATGTCATTTGTGGTCGTTTAGTTTAGTTAAACTGAAGAATTAAGCTTAAAAAAATATCGCCCATTCCATTATCTTTCATTCGATACCAAACTTTGCCTTACAAACCCAAAAAAAATATCGTCCATTCAATTATCTTTCATTCGATACCAAACTTTGCCTTACAATCCCCAACAAAAATATCGTCCATTCAATCATCTTTCATTCGATACCAAACTTTGCCTTACAAACCCAACAAAACTATTTTAAACAGTTCATAATCCGAACCTCTCACTTCTGGGACCCGGGTCCGAATAGCCACTTCAAAAAAATAATCTGTCCAAATGGATGAAACAACTTTGAGAGACATTGAGGCCGTACTGATAACTTACGCAAGTTACGCAACGACTATTCCATGAAGGTATGCAGGCCAGAGTTCGGGATAATGGAGCGACGTCAAATCCATTCCTTGTAACAAACGGCGTGAAACAAGGAAGTGTACTTGCCCCAACACTTTTCAGCCTCATGTTTTCCGCAATGCTGACCGATGTATTCAGATAGGAAGACGCTGGAATTGGCCTCAGATACCGAACTGACGGTAATCTATTCAACCCCAAGAGGCTACATGCCAAAACGAAGGTCCTGATAGACATCATCAGAGACCTCCTGCATGCTGACGACTCTGCCCTAAACGCTGTTTTAGAAGTGAATATGCAACGCTACGTCACAAGCTTTTCTATTTGCCTGCACAAACTTCGGGCTCACCACTAACACACAAAAAAACTGAGGTCATATACCAACCAGCTCCTCGAAGCCCTTATGTTGAGCCCAACTGCCAAGTATATGGCGAAAGACTTAAGGTTGTGAAATGCTTTTCTTATCTCGGCAGCACATTGTCCCAAAGCACAACCATCGATGACGAGGTTAACCTCCGTATGGAGAGAGCCGGTGCAACCTATTGATTGACTAAGAACGGATGGACCAGGAGAGATATCAACATTCAAAAAAAAAATGATTGGTATATCAGGCGGCTGTTCTCCCTACGCTTCTCTATGCCTGTGAAACGTGGACGGTCTACCAACACTATGCACGAACGCTGAACCACTTTCATACAACAAGACTCGGAAAAATCCTCAACATTAAATGTAAACACTGAGGTGTTCACACAGGCAGGTCTCCCCAGCATCTTCACAATCTTGATGAAGTCCCAGCTTTGCTGGGCGGGACATGTTGTGAAAATGACAGATGACCGTCTTCCCAAAATAATTTTCTATGGTGAGCTTGAACAAGGAAAGTGGTCTTCTGGCGGACAGAAAAAATGCTTTAAAGACATCCTAAAGGCCTCACTGAAAGCGTTCAACACAAACTCGGACAAGTGGGAGGAACAGGCAAAGGATCGAACTTCATGGCATTCTACTTTGCATAGGAGCTCCATACAACATGAAGTTGGCAGAACAGCGGCTGCAGTGCGAAAGAGACATGCAAGGAAGGCACGGTCTGACTCTGCTCTTGGAGATGCACCATCATTCCCCTGCACCTACTGCCCAAGAGCATTTCTTGCTAGAATCGGCCTCATTAGCCACAGACAGAACAGCACAAACTCTGATGATTAAAGTGGTCATGGCCGACTTCCGACTGACGAACACCATTGATAACGGAGATTTTGTTGGAGAAATGTTGCTCTGAAAATCATTAAAAAGCACCACTACTTCTCAATGAAAAAAAAAAATATCTTCTGCTGCTAATATGATGGCGATAGTCAAGAAAAAAATTGATGAAGGGTGAGAATCTAGAATCGCTTCTTGTGCATCATTTTATTCAGTGGCGTAGCTAGGGTTGGTGTCACCCGCTGCGATAAACTCATGGTGTCACCCGGTGCGATAAACTCATGGTGTCACCCGGTGCGACAAACTCATGGTGTCACCCAGTGCGACAAACTCATGGTGTCACCCGGTGCGACAAACTCATGGTGTCACCCGGTGCGACAAACTCATGGTGTCACCGCCCGCCCGACTTTCACGATATATTTCTTTTTGTTCAATCAAGTCCACAGTAGAACAATGACAAGAACAAAGTCCACAGTAGAACAATGACAAGAACAAAGTCCACAGTAGAACAATGACAAGAACAAAGTCCACAGTAGAACAATGACAAGAACAAAGTCCACAGTAGAACAATGACAAGAACAAAGTCCACAGTAGAACAATGACAAGAACAAAGTCCACAGTATAACAATGACAAGAACAAAGTCCACAGTATAACAATGACAAGAACAAAGTCCACAG